GATGTCCGTCCGTAGTTTTATAGAACTTCGACCCGCACAGACTCCGAACCGCTAAAGCAGCGCGCGGTTCCGCTGTGTTGGTAGTCCGTTAAGGGTCCTTAGAGTGGCGGGCGTCCGGGTCCGATGGTTTCGGACAGGTGAACGTTACAAATTTTTGCTTCATTTGACCTGATATTTGAGGGTTTGTCCACTTGTGGATGTCAAAGTGGTTGACAAGAGACGTGCAGGGCGGTGACGGACCAAGGCAGGCCAAAATCCAGAGCCATTCCACTTGCCTCATGGTCAGAGTTCGACCCTGTGACGGTACCGTTACTAATAAGATAGGGATGTAAAATATGTATACCTTTTATCAGTTCGACGTCATAGTCGTATGTGGCGGAAACTAACCCCAATTTCCGTGAACATGACCGCCATTAACGATTTGCCTAAACTACCTACTACGGTTCGTGCTCGGATTGTTTTCAACTTGTAACAAGTTGAAAACTACGGCTATCTACGAGCACTACAAACGTCTCGTACGGTACGAGGGGTGTAACGTCAACAGCCGCTCCTAATTTTAGAAGATGCAGTGGGTAAGTTCACTTACCCCGCTCGCAACTTTCGGAATTAAACTACGGACATCACCATCTGCCCGGCATTGTGTCTTTTCTGGAGGGTTTTGCGGAGCAACCTCTAAAGAGGTAAAAGGTACAAAAGAAGACCATAAGACGCTCCCTAAGCGGTCATCGGTGCCGGGTCTCGATACCGGCGTGGGAAACGCGTCGGCTTGTATATAGTGACAACCTTCGAGTCCAAGTCAAGTTGTTTGACTAGGTCAGTACCGGTTGCTCCCAGACAAAGACAGAACATTTCCCCTTTAGAAGTTTACTAGCCGAAGTGGCTCCCCGTCTTGGTGCTGTTTCAGTCACCGACTGTAAAGAACAATTGGCCAAGGAAGTCTACCAGCTCGCCATAACATGACACACGCGCCGGTAAGATGCCTGTTTCGAAGCGTTTGTAACGTCGCTAATACCGGCCTAATACGTGTCGCAGCCTGTGCACTTCCTAGCTGACGAACAAAGATGAAACCAAACCTCTGTCGCCCTCTAAGCCCATGTGTGCATTTCATAAGTAACAACAAACACATAAATACCCTCGCGCGTCGCATTTCGTTTTTGAGGTCCTGTAAGTAATAGACATGCCGTTAGAGTTTTACTCGCTACAGGGTGTACTTTGAGGGTTTTTGACTCTGCAGACCGTTTACATGCATAAAAACCTTCATAACACACAAGG